CCTTTCCTGGGGCCCAGACCTTGATGTTCTCAGTGTGCACTTGTTGGCCGGATGCCTGACTTGGAAAATTTTCATCCTCTTCCTCTTCCTTTTTCACCTTCACTGGGGCCCAAGGTGCTAGGGCCATGGCCTCTTTCAGTTCTGCAGTCATCTTGCTTAGCAGGGCAACTCCTGAAGCTGGGGGCTGCCCAGGAGAGGTCAAGCCCCATCGAACCTATAAGCTTCAAAAGCTTCTCCTTGAGTCTCTTCCCAGGATGGGCACTGCCGTGAGGGCCGGCGGCCGACTCCGCAGAAGATGCGAGCGTACTGAGCTCCACTCTAGTCAGCTCGAGAACCTATACATTCATTTGTTGGACATTTCCAGTTGTTTCCACCTTTTGGCTATTGTGAATCATACTGCATATGAATATTGGTGTGTAAATTTTTGTTTGATTATCTGTTTTTAATTGTTTTGGGAATAAACCTAGGAGTATAATTGCTGGATCATATGGTAATTCTATGTTTATCCTTTTGAGAAACTACAAAACTTTTCCACAGCAGCCATACCACTTTACAATGTGTGAGGGTTCTAATTTTTCCACATCCTCACCCACACTTGTTTTTTTTTTTTTGGTAGCTATCCTAGTGGATGTGAAGTGATGGTATCTCACAATGGTTTTGATTTGCATGCCCTAGTAGCTAATGACATTGAGTATCTTTTATGAGTGTGTTGGTCATTGCTATAGCTTTTATGGGGAAGTAACTATTCAAGTGTTTTGTGCATTTTTATTGGTTTTTGTTGTTGTTGAGTTATAAAGTTTTTTTTTATATTCTTGATATTAGAACTTTATCGGATACATAACTTGAAAATATTTTTCCCATTCTGTAGGTTGTCTTTTAACTTTCTTTATGGTACACTTCACTATAGTTTTTAATTTTGATGAAGTCCAGTGTGTCTCTTTTTTTCTTTTATTTCTTGTGATTTTTGGTGCCATGTCCAAAAGTCCATTGCCAAACCCAAAGTCATGAAGAATCACTCCTAAGTTTTCTTCTAAGAGTTTTGTAGTTTAAGGCACCCTACCCTCACAGTTACTGTACATATTCGTGGAGAAGGTGGAAAGGGTTGGTAACATCTTATCTGTCATGTAACAGTGGGAAGGCTGGCCTGGTCAGGCAGAGGAAGGGACTCCTGGGTAGAGTAACATCCTTCTGTTGGAAGCCCACTAGGGGAGTTGGCTTCCTAGGACTCATTTGGCCGGAAGACTTGCAGATCTTCTAGGAACTCAAGTAAATACAAGTTTTCTTTCAGTGGAAGAAATTAGTTAGATTTTCAGAAGATTTCTAACTCTAGAAATAGGTCAGAGATAAGAGAAAACATTAAGTGTTAATAGGCAGATTCCAAAAAGTAATACAGAGCCAATAAAGCAGCTCTACGGAGCACTCAATGTGCACATAGTAAGGAGTGCTCAGAGAAAATCCCAAGAGGTGATTGATGGGGAGCCACTTGGCTGCTTTCCCAAGCCTTGCAAGAATGGCTTGACTTGGCCTGGGATCGTGAGCAGACTTTGTAGGAGGTATTAGCCTCTGCACACACCTCCTTTGGTTATGTGGTATTCCAACACCCTCTGACTCTTCTGTCCCTTCTTTCACTTGTGATTATATCAAGTTCACCCAATGATCCAGGAAAATCTTCCTGTTTTGAAGTCAGTGATTAGCAACTTTAATATCCCTTTGCTATATAAGGTAACATAGTCATAGGTTCTAGGAATTAGGTTATAGTCATCTTTGTGGGGGGCATTATTCTGCTTTTCATACCATCTTTGTCATTTTTAGGGCTTAAAAGGATCTCTGAACTGCTGAGATGGAACCAGAGGGTGAAACATGGCAGCTTTATCTTTCCATGTTTCTCTTTCATTCTGGAGAGTCTGCTCCAGGACTTCCACAGTCTTTGGGCATAAACCTTGTGACTGCCTAGTCACTGGTCATTCCAACTCAGCCAGTTGACTTGCCATCAACCCCAACGAAGATGTATTCTCTTCTCCAAGGAACCCTGTCTTTGCATTAGCATTAGGTCAAATGGTGTTTGCCCAGGTTTAGTGCCAGTTATTAAATCATCGGCTAGGGATGATACTACAAACAGTAGTGATTAGGAGTAAATCATGTTCATGGAGGAGACTTAGAGGTGAAAGGTTGATGAAATATATGACAGATAATGTTATACATGCATTTTATTTCTCTCCCATTCTCTTTCCATAGTGGAGTGTTTTGGAGCAGAGAATAGTTTGAAGCAAAAAAAAAAAAAAAAAAAATGGACTCCAGGAGAAAGAATGTGATTCCCCAGACTTATGGAGAAGTTGGGAGGGAGCAAGGGACACCAAATAAGAAATGTATCATCAGGAATTAGAAAGACTTGAATTAATGGTCAGTGTAATGGCCTTGTTGAAGTGCAGATTATCAGAATCTTGGATGTAAGCATCTGGAATTTGTAAAGCAACCACCTTTCTGAGCTAAATATCTTGACGTTGTTCCTATGAGACAGCTTGTTGCTAGGTTTCCTGAGGGGAGGCACAGGGTGGTCTAGCAGACCATCTGTTTCTCTTGAGATGACAAATTGATCAAATTTTCAGATGAAAGTGGAGTGGAAGTGATACCAAATTCAGAATCAGGATTTTAAAAGATTACAGTAAGCCAGATAGATAAAACCTAACCAGGTAACATTTATTTATGATTTCTTTCTCTTCTTTTCTTTTGCAAGTATGTCTAAACACTCCAACAACCTAAGTTCAGAGTGCGCAAGATGAGTTACCTGGGAAAAAACTCAAAGGTTTTCTAGGCCAGTTAATACATTAAAGTATGTATTAATCAGGGATTAATTTTAAGGACTTACAAGGATGAGTTTTTCCTTCAAAAAAAATAAAGAGCTAGAAAGAACAAAGACCTACTTAAGAACAAAGGAAAATCAATATGAAAATAGCTACTAGGGTTTCTTTTCTACATGGGGGATGGAACTCATGGTCTTGGACATGGTAGACAAGCCCTGTACCATGGAGCTACACCTCTCACCCCTGCTACTGTGGCTCTTAACAAGAGCCCAGAGGCTACCCAAGTAATAATAAACTAATAAATTTACTGACGATGCTTAGATTTATTTCCAACCTCCCATAACAAATGTATGCTACAATTTTAGTAATATGCCTCTTTCTAAATCAGCAAATTCAAAAGCCACTGGTATCAAACATTTAGTTTGATGTGCCGCTTGATTTTTTCCACTATTAAGAGCAGCCTTTATTAAGAATGCTCCTCTTTAGGTGCCTTGTATAATTCAATCAACGAACGGAGTGTGAGAGTGAAAAACGGAGTAGAAAAAGTACAATGTAGATACCAACTCAGAAACCATATTATTCGAGAGACAACTTCCCTACCACAAATTTTTTGGTTTCAAAATCCATCAAAATACTTATATAGTATTTTTCATCTTCAATATCATGAAAGTACCAGAGAGCAAGCCAATTACTTTCTAAAAAATTTATGAAAAAGTAAATCATAGAATTCCATTCAATTTTTAACTATGTATAATATTTATGAATCCACAAATTGCAAATGAAAAATATGAAAAAGGTAATAAAATTGATTTGTTTCCAACTGGGAATCTGCTCTTGCAAAATCTTATTCACCACATATTTTCCTAGGGGCCTGCATAGTTAGCATCATACTTACAGATTTTCAAATAAAGAATGTTGCCTAAGGCTTAAATTTTCACAAATGACTTTAATTTTGACAGTTTTAGCTGATCTCCAAGATCTAACTCTTAGCCAAACACAGAAAGAGATCTGCTTAAAGTGGCCTAGGAACATCTGCACAGCCTGTCCAGTTCTGATATCCACCATTTACACCAGCCTCATAACTTCAACTTAAGTCTTTTGCCCCACATGGTTCCTTCAGTATGCAAGCAGTAGTAGTAGGGGAAAAGGAGCTGATAATACAATCATGAATATTATAATTTCCAAGTGTTGAAAGAAAATTCATTTAAATGTTACAGCAGGCATAACTTTAATATTTGCAGTTTGAAAACTCAAGTATTCTGTGTAATGTAGTGTTTGAACTGAACTGATTATTTGCAATGTATTTAATATAATTCATATTTTTAAAACATATTTCTATGCCAGCAGAGAAGAAAATAGGAATACTTCTAAAATTCAGGGTAAAGATTAAATGATATACATGGAGAAGTTAACATCTTCATGAGCAACAAACAATATTGAAGTCAGCATGGAGCTATTAGATGATTCTAAAATAACTAGACAGAGTCTGAAACAGTCCTCAGGTAGGAAACATCAAATTTATCCTCTCTATTAATCTTAGGACTATTCATTTCAAATGTTTTTCCCTCCTAAACTGATTGCAGACCAGAATGTTAGTATTTGATAAGTTATAAAAATAAGCACATGCCAGGGATTTAGCTCAGTGGCATTGTGCCTGCCTTGCAAGTGCAAGGTCCTGAGTTCAAGCTCCGGTACCAAAAAAAAACCAATCATAGATGAGGGCAATAATCCTAATAAACATTTTTTGGAGTGCTGAATAATAAATCATCACCTCCTTTAGTTGAAAATATGCCTCAAAGATGTAAATGCATTTCAGGTTTTCCCAAATAAAACAATTTTCATCTGATGACAAAGATGAAAAGTCCCAAAGAAAAATATTGAAAATATTGTATCTTCTCACTTCACCATGAAAATGTATTCATTTAATACCAGAAAACATAAGAATGCATATTCTTTTACATTTTCCCCGTTTGCTTTCTATCCTTAAACCTGCAGTAGTAATTAGCATTATGGTCTAGAACACTGCTACAGTTTTAATCAATACGTGAACATCTCCATATTGTTATAATTATCATCAAGGATGAAAATGTTAGACTGCAGACCAAGCCTCACTCTGTGATCTCCCCACCCCTATGTATAATGTTCCAGTAAGTAGGCTAATGGCTAAAATAAGAATTACTTATATATTTTAGCCACGATGGCTATACTAAGGAGGGCTAATGTGAAGTCTCTAGCAAATCCAGTGTCTCTTTCAGGGCACCACTGATTCTGTGTCTTTTTTTAATACCTGCTTCCTACTCTTAAATTTCTTTAATTTTCCCCAAATTCTTACCCCTTCAGTGTGTATACC